GCACCGCAACCCTAGAGTCGGACTCAACTGACTTTCGAGCAAGGGAACCTTTACCTGTTGGATATTGTTTATTTCCTTAGGTGATGCACTTTTTTGAATGCCGTTAACTATGGACACGAAGACATTAAGCCTGGTGGGAGGGAGTGGAGTTGAAGTTCATACAGAACTTTCCCTTCTGCCTCTGCCTGCTGTGTGTGCTTTGGTTTAGTTTTTTACAGAATTTTGTTCTGAGATGCACAACTGGGAATCTTCAGGGTCTTCGGGTTAAACCAGATGCAGGCTTCCAAGCATGGCCTGTTTGTAAAGCAAATACAAAGGGAATGTGTAACTTTAACAGTAAAGGAACATGTTTTTATTCGAGAGCTATTACTGCCTTAAATGCTGTATGAAATTGGAATTTGGGTGACATTAGTGGTTTTAAGTTGCTATGTGAACCTTAAGGGAGTTATGAGATAGTTGTGAATGGTTGTGTGAGTGTATATGAATAAAGGTTGTAGATCACTGAAATGATTGCATCTTAATTTCGTTGTACTATGTACAATGACAATAAAGTATATTAATAATTAATAATTAAAAAAATAATGTGGGAGAAGAATGCTGAACCTTCCTCCTTCCCTTTTCCTTGCATGCTTCCGAGAAGGGATAAGAGTGCCTGGCACAACCAAGGGGTGGGTTGGGGGCAGGTTTCAGCCTCTGGGATCATTTCCCAGCCAAGTAACACACATACACACAACTACTTGTTTGAGATATGAATGCAGTGGAGACATGTATGGTGGCCTCATCATTTCTAGTTTGCCCTCAGATTTCGATTTGCTTTCAGTGACGGATTTTCAGGTCCTTTGTGGAGGGAGCGGTGGCGCAGGCTGTAAAAGCCTGCAGTAATCTAACACCAAACAGCCATAAGGCTGTTCGAGTCCCACCGCGGCCGGGGTGAGCTTCCGGTCCTTGTCCCAGCTCCCGCCCACCCAGCGGTTCAAAAGCCCTTAGGCAAGTAGATAAATGGGTACCCACTCCTAGGAGCGGGGGGCACCTTCCTTCCAATGAATTGGAGTGCAGCGGCGGCTGAGCGGTGGCGGCGGATGACGAGCGGCGATCCGGCAGCAAGCAGCGAGCGATCCGGACGGAGATTGATCCAGGAGAAGTGGCGACGTGACGGCGTGGCACGGTCGGAGCCAATAGGATGGAGACTAGCTGCTGCAGCCGTCGCACAAGCCGCGCACCGTGATGACCACTCCAGAAGGAGTCGCTGTGAGAAAGAAAGACCTTCGCCGAGACACCATCGCCTGGAAACAGAAAGAACCCACCATGGAAAGAACAACATAGGAAGATCACTGCTGCTTAGGTGCCTGGTAGGCATTCACCCCTCCCCTTGCACTGTGGCCTTAGTTAGGTGATTTAAAGGTCTCTGTAAACTGCTCCAAGCCCTCGAGAAGAAGCGGTATATAAGTTGAATGTGTAATGTAATGTGTAATGTAATATATAGGTCATGTCGTGCTCCTGGGGGGGCTTGTTGATGTTCTCCTGTGACTATGCCCATTCTGCTTCGTTCTCCTTTCTGTAGCTTCCAAACAACTTCTTAGGGAATAAGTACAGTTGATTTAGACTTACCTTTCACCATTCAGGTTCCGTGTGCATGTTTGATCTGAAACACTGACTGTGCCTTGCCTTCCAAGAGCTCCTTTTCCCAAGCTGCTTGCCATCTTAGGCAGCTTAGGGATACCCAAGCCGGAAATGAATTCTGTGCCTTTGGTACATTCTTTCAGCAATTGCTTGGCATACATTTGGGCACAGAACCTGGGATTTGAGTATCTCCTTATGTTGCAAAACTTGGAATGCTTTTTTCCAACTATTGTGTGACTTGTGGTTTATTTAGTATTGTCTTAGAAATCACTACACATTCTTTCTTTCTGTCCTCTGGTTAGAACAACAACTCTTTGTTCCTCTGTCACAAAAGGGGATGCGGCTTCACAAAAAGCTGCTTGTCTGTTTTGACTGTGTTTGGGGCTTGATCCTGGAAAATCGGATGTCTCTCATCTGACATGCTTGCTGAAATGCTTGGGGGGGGGACTCTCAACCAAGCCTTCTTATCACTTCCATTGTTTCTCAAAACCAGTGTTATTGTTTTTTATTTATTTATTTATTTATTATTAGATTTCTACCCCGCCCTCCCCCAACGGGCTCAGGGTGGCTACAACAGAGGCAAATGCCATAACGACGACTAAAACAACATAAAAACAATCATTAAACAGTATAAAACAGTCATTAAGTAAAGTGCGGTGCTCTTGATGTTAAATTTTCTTAATCCAAGATGAATTCCATTCATCAACCTAACCCGACAACAAGCATTCTTCGGTTAACTAGGAGTCTGCCCAGGGCCGGCTCACCTCCAGATCTAATCCACCGTAGAAGATGGCAACTTGGTGGTGGTACAGTGACGATGACGGCTCCTATGCAAAGGCCTGGCGGAAGAGCTCCGTCTTGCAGGCCCTGCAGAACTGCGCCAGGTCCCGCAGGTCCCGAACCTGCTCTGGGAGCTCATTCCACCAGACAGGAGCCGCCGCCGAGAAAGCCCTGGCCCTGGTTGCAGCCAGCTTGATGTCCTTGGGGCCGGGAACCACCAATAGGTGCTGCGACCCCGACCGTAGAGCTCTGGAATGTTTCAGGGATGATGTATATCAGAAACCTACCTCTGCCATTGCTGTGTGCAGTAGCATGTTAGGGGGTAATGGATCCTGCCTCAAGGATCTCACAACTAAACTGCAGTGGAGGGAAGGGAGACTAGCCAGGGTTGAATGTGAGCAAATGCAGCTGTGTTATCTAGGCTTCACTGGGCAGGTGGCTAAGGCCAAAGCCCTCCTTTAAAAAGGAAGCCTTGATGAGAGCTTTACCTGGTCACTGAAACGTTCAGAGCAGAAAACCGTCCCAGCTCCTTGTTTCCTTGCACCATTTCAGAACAGAGAAGGATGCATGGGATTTAGGCTGAATGTCAGCGGACGCTGTCAGCTTTGTGTGTGGCAAATTCAAATGTATTTCTCATTTGCGAAATTGCAAGAGGATAGTTCAAATGCCACATGTGCATCATTTGAATTTTCAGATTTGCAAAGCATGCTCAAAGCAGCGTGTAGAACACAGGGAGATGGGTTGTCTTCTCTGGAGAATTCGTGTGGAGGAGTGAGGCTCGCATGCCTCAACGTGGGATGTAGCCAAATCTGTGCTACATCCTGCCTGTCCTTGTTGCTAGTTTGGTCAAAATCACCCCAGGGCACGGAGGAGCTACATATGTGCTGTAGTGCCAGAATTGCCGGATATCTTGTCTTGCATGATCTACTTTAAAAAAACAAACTAGAATTCCTATTAGCGACTAA